TATATATATATATATATAATGCAGTTGCAGTAATGCATGCTAAAATGTGACTTTTATCATGTGTTACCACAAGGCAAAAGTGTATATGGGCTCTTAAACTGCTATCACTGCATGGAAATGTGTGTCTTGTTACCAATGTGTGTCCAGAAGAATGCACTAGTGTCTGTGGCCAATGGGAGGAAGAATGCTCCAGTGTCCCAGTTTTATCGGTCAGTGTGAGGAAAAATTAGCAATCACCATAAGTCAGTGGGGGGGAACACTGTTGACCAAATAGTGACTGCATTGATTTAGATGCAGTCACTGTTGGGGTATTCAGACAGCTTCGGGTTCTGCAGCTGTCTGAATACAAAGTCAGCAGTGCAGATTCCTCCATCCACGTTGTTTTGGGAAAATGTGTATAGCTAGTTAAGTCACACATATTAGGGCTTAGTTGTTTACATACCAGAGAGGCAGAAGCTCCAGATCCCAAACAGCCAGCTCCCAGGTTTAAATAGTGAAATCAGCACCAGAAATATGAAGACACCTTAACTTTGTCAAACGTGAATCTTTGAATGTGAATGATCTTGTCCTGAGGTAACAAAATCCTGTTTTCCAGAGTGTTGAAAACAACCACCAGGTAATGAACAACCTGAGTTGGTTCTAAGTGGCTCTTTCGATAATTGATCAGCCAAAACGTTCTAGCGTTTTCAACGCCCTTACACCCTGAAGAGACAAGGTGTCTCTTGCTGCTGCAAGAACGAGAAGATCGTCCAGATAATGGTGAAGACGAACTCCTTGAAGTCTTAGATGAGCAACCAGTGACACCAAAACCTTTGTGAAGGTCAGAGGGGCAGTGGCCAGGTGAAATGGCAGACACTTGAAGATGTAGTTCCCGCACCGTGAACCTCAAATACTTTTGGTGATCTTCAGCTACAGGTATGTGCAGACATACATCTGCAAGATCTATGGAAAGTAGCCAGTCACGTTCCTGGACAGCTGATATCAATGCCTGTGGAGACTCCATCCAAAAATGCGACACCCTCAAGAAAGTATTGAGGTACTTTAGGTTCAGAACCGGACAACAACTTCCTGATGACTTGCGAACCAGGAAAATGGGAGAGTAAACCCCATCCCTCTCTCTGAAGCTGGTACCAGACAAACCACTCTTGAGTCCAACAATTCTTCTATATAAGATATTAGCGCATGACGCTTCTCTGACTGAACGGGCAAAGCAGTCTCCACAAACATCTTTCTGGGTGGAGAACGGTTGAACTCCAGAAGATATCCGCTGTGGACAACTTTTTTCACCCAGGCATCCTCTATCTCTTCCGCCCAGACCTCCCCTAACAAAGCTAAGCGCGCTCCTACAGGGGCGACCGGGGAGGGCAAGCTCGCAGAAGGACTTATCTGGAACCCTACCCAACTGGGCTGGCTTGGATTCACCACCACGAAGAAAGGAGTTTTGAGTGGCTCTCCACAAGGTTCTAAAGTACTCCCTCCTGTAAGAACAGGAGTCACGAAAGTTACCACGATTCATCCCTCTGTTTGATCTAAAGGGTTTTTCCTTTTATCCTGCAGAAGATGACTTCCCTCCTGTGACTCGTTAAATAGCATCCTCCAGAGTCTTCCCAAATAAAGATCGTCCTAAAAAAGGTATGGAACAAAGACCTTGCTTTGATGCAGCATCCGCGGACCAATGTTTCACCCACAAAGCATGTCTAGCTGTGACAGATAAGGACATAATCTGACTAAATCCACTGCGGCTTACACAAGAAACTCAACCGACAGCCTCAACTCCTCCAAGGAAGCAATAATTGAATTTCTTTCTATATCCGGTTTCAAAGCGGAATCTATATTTCCAAGACCTGAGCGCTCTGGCCACCGACAGAAGTGCCACCGAGGGCTTGCAAGCTGCACCTGCCGTAGTGTAGATCCTCTTCAGATCTGTGTCCACCCTGCGGTCCATCATATCTTTAAATGTCACCGAATCATCAAGCGGAAGAGCGACATGCCTTGCCAAACGCTGTAAAGCCTCATCTACCTTAGGGAGAGAGTCCCAAAATTCAGAGTCTATTGTGGGCTCTGTGGGGTCTATGGTGGGCTCTGCAGAGTTTTAGGGGGGCTGTGCAAGATCTGTGGTGGGCTCTGCAGCCTGCAGAGCCCACCACAGATCCTGCAAAGCCCCCCTGAGACCCTGCGGAGCCCACTAGAGACCCTGCAGAGCCCCCCTGAGACCCTGCAGAGCCCACCATAGACCCCATCACAGATCCTGCACACATTTTGAGGTGGGCTATGCAGAATCTATCCTGGGCTCTGCAGGGTCCCTTTAAAAGCAGGGTAATCCACTTACCTGCATCTGCCGCCCGCTGTTGGACCTGGCCTCCTTCACTGCTGGACCACCCAGCCTCCTCCAGCGACCCGTCTGGCACTTCCAGGTTCCGCCCGACGGGGATATGGACCCGCCCCCTGATGGGGATCCGGACCCACTCCCTCCTTCTGCTGCTACTCCTCCTCCGTTCCTCCTCCTCTACTCGCCTCCACCTCTGCCTCCTTGTCCCGCTAGATTGGGCAGCCGAGGCTGCAGAATTCTGTGCAGCCCAGCTTGCCTGACTGTTTTGGGGAAGCATTTTTGCTGCCCCCCTGGAATCGGTTGGTGTCTCTCACTCTTCCCCCCCTCCCCCCAGCGTCGGTCGGCCGGTGTCTCACTTTACTTATTTCATCCACCTCTTTACAACCCCTGGGATGTCTGCTGGAAACGACTTACCTTTCCCTTCCAGGCAGGAGGCAGCAGCTGTGCTCCTCTCCAGCCTTGGTCTTTTGTGCTTCTGCTGGGAATAAAAGTTCTGCCCCCTGAAAAAAAAACCTTTCTGCACGTAATCAGGAAGTTACCAATAGCACAGGGGGACCTGGGACCTGACTAATTTAACTCTCCATATTAATCTATAACAAGAAATGCACACTGGTAGCAGCTGATGGAGGGCAGTGCTAACGAACCGCTGAGCAAGATGAGTGCTTACTGAGCTAGCTGTTACACCCAAGCATGGGAGCTGTTGTCCAAACGCTAGCACTGTTTAAATGACTGTCGGGAGCGATTTCATTTCTCACCCCGCCTACCTTGGTTAGTTGGAGGATATCCATCAGCAGACACGCCGAATGGGTCGGACATCAGAGCTGCAACCACTGTGGGGAAGTAAAAAGAAAAAAAACACAGCCGAGAAATCGTTCGCAAAGAACACGGGCACATCAATTTCCGGGTCGCGGTCCACATCGAGGCTGTCTCTGGCTCCTTCAACACAGGGCTCTCGAGCCTCTTCCCCTGATCTGATGGACGCAGTGGAACCTACACAGGGAGGGAGCTCTCCCCTTCAACTACCAACTGAACAACCAGAGGTAGCATGTAGAGATGCAGAGTTGTTGGAGAAATTTAAAATCCTGTTACAAAAAGAATTACAGATTGCTACAGATAAATTGGCCTCTCAACTCTCCAGGGACATTAAGGAACTGGGATTTAGGATACACAATATTGAGACTAAAATGGATGATGTTGTCACTGTGATAGAGGCACATGAGCAGGACATTGATATAGTGAAAGAGGATCTTTTTCAGGCTGTGTTAAAAATAGAGGACTTGGAAAACAGAAGCCGGTGGGGTAATTTACGGATCTGGGGTATCCCAGAACGGGTAGAAAACCTTGAAACAGTAATCTCCATTATACTTTCAGATTTGCTCCCGCGATACCCGGCAGATAAATTAGAAATAGATCGAGTACATGGAAAAATGGGGCCCAAACGGGCCGATGGAACCCCAAGAGACGTTTCCCCGAAAGTAAGACCTACCCCGAAAGTAAGACCTAGCGCTATCTTCAGGGATGTCTGTAATATAAGACCTACCCCGAAAATA